ATTTAAAAAAATCGTTAAAATCCTTGCTTTTTGCGGCAGTTATAAACGATTTCATCAAAAGTTGCTATTAAGAGAGGAAAAAAGACGCGTTCGTACTCAAAAAGAAAAAAATTCATTATTCGAAAAATTCGCATTTCTGAGCAAAAAGAAAAAATACGTGTCTCCTTAATTTGTTCAAGGAACAATCCCTGTGAGTTTTATCGCAAACTTAAATTCACTTTCCCCCGGCCTGGGTGGTTTGAGATGGAATGAGCCACATACATATAACAGCAATTAATTTCATTTAAAGAAATGGCGTGACGTCCATTTCCGCTGTAGCGTATGTAGTGCATATTTTTAGGCGAAATATTTAACTTCTTCTGGCGGGGCGACATCTACCTCTTGAGTCTTCTAATTGTATGTCTTCGATATGATACCTACGACGAGGTTGATATCTAGACTAGGTTGCCATAAATACCTTTGCTATATTTATAGTATAAATGGAGGTCTGGACTAGGGATGTTGCGAATGTGAAATCTTAGACATCCGCTAACGCTCCGAACTTTTTAAAAATAATTCTTAATTCTCATTCCTTTGGCTGTTTCGGAATTTGGGGAGACTGTAACGCTATCAGCGTTTTTCGATTTTAGTTTTTGTAATTAATTTTTAATACTTTCTTCTGCGACTGGTTTGAAATTTCGTTCTAATAGCGAGCTAAATACCTAGGTGGATATGGAAAATTAATTATTATTTTCCAGCAATGAAAATTTTGAACGAAATTCTGTTTCCAAAGTCGTGTCTGCCAGCCGAATCGGATCAGAATATTCTAATGTTTTTTTTAAACACCCCGTTTTTGATAAGCATTTGAATTATTGGAATCACGGATGATGAGGTCTCAGATAATTATGTAATTCTTACCTAATTAAAGGTCAGACTTATAGCTGTTTAATTATCTGGGCTTCGATTCCCTTTGACTTTAAATAGCAAAGAAGGGAGACTTCGGGGGACAGTTTTACCTCAGAAGTTTTTGGCCAAGGATCCCAATGAAAAAAATATTGCCCGACAAGTAAACCAAATGACTGCTTTTGAAATGTTTGCTAAAAATAAATTCATAAAAAGTAAATCACGAAAATTTTGTTAAAATAACAGTGCTTAATTTCTTATTTATGTCTAGTAGTATTAATTAAAAGGACTATGTTCTGTTTGACGTACGTCAAAGGTCAAGTAGAAGTGGCTGCTTATTCATAGCTCGGTTATATAGCTTAAGAAATAGTATGTTTAAAGACACTTTTATCAAAGTTGACAAATATGACATTTGACCAGTTTTGTTACACGAATACTCCCATGTGCGGCGCCCGGGTAACACGACCACAGGCAAAAAATTTGGGCTACAATTTGTCATTTTGTTTGCCAGATATACGTTTTATCGGTGCACTTGCACAACATTCGCATTCGCAAAAGCTCCGCATTGATTATTGCGAATGCGAATGTTAAAATTTATGCGGAAGTTCCGCGGTTGCGAATGCGAGTGCGAATATTCGCAACAACCCTGGTCTGGGCATACAACATTGCAAGTTGAGAAAAGCGATTTTTAACCGACTTCCAAAAAAGNTTTTTTTTTTTTTTTTTTTATGTATGTTACCGCATAACTTTGGACCACGTCAACCGATTTCGATAATTCTTTTTGCATCGGAAATGTAGTGTCTCAGAGGTGGTCCCATACTAATCTGGTTCAGATCCGATCAGCGGATCATGAGATATATATATATTTTTTTTTTTTTATATGAGAGATGAAGTCGGTTTTTTTTTTTGCTAAAAATTACTTGTTAAAACTTTTCATTCGGACAGGTGGAAACGAGCGTTTCTAAGAATTTAATTTTGTGTAATTCTCTGTTCTTTGGAACCCCAAAGAAGAGTCTCTCAAAGTTACACCATAATCTAAAAGGGGTCCGCGACGATTTTTTATGTTTTCAGACGTTGTCATATGGAATAACTCTAAAATAAAATGAATTTCATTAAAATTTAAGTATAATAATTATTTACTATGTAAACTAAACATACTAAAAATTCCAACACATAAGTACATACACACATATGTATGAGTGCGTCATAGACGCTTATATAAGGCATTTCAGATATAACATATCGCAAACCGTCCTTAAAAGAGTCACTACTCTAAATAATATGCTCGTCAGAAAATTAGAAAAACTATTTCGTAGCGCAGATAATCATATGGGCAAGGACTACTTTACCTTAGTTTTTTTAATAAATTATAACACAAATTTGCTCCAGCTTTTGCTGAAAGGTAAATAAATGCTTTGTGTACATTTTTAACGCATAATTTCCAAAATTCCAAATTTTGAGTTGTGACTCTTTTGAAGACGGTGTGCTATATCTTCAGTTATAGGAGTCAAACGCTGTGCATTTTTGATAGTACGAACTGCGATATCTTCAGTTATATGAGTCAAACGCTGTGCATTTTTAACCGACTTTCAAAAAAGGAGGAGGTTATCAGTTCGTCGGAATATTTTTTTTTTTTTTTTTTTTTTTTTTATGTTACCGCATAACTCTGGACCACGTTAACCGATTTCTAAAATTCTTTTTTTAAGGAAAGGTGGTACCTCAGAGGTGGTCCCAACTAATTTGGTTTAGATCTGATCATTCGGTCATGAAGAAATTAACAGTCCTCTTAAATTTTTATATGATAATTAAAGNGATATATATATATATATATATATATATTTTTTATATGGGAGTTGAAGTCGGTTTTTTTTTGCTAAAAATTACTTGTTGATAGTACGAACTGCGATATCTTCAGTTATATGAGTCAAACGCTGTGCATTTTTGATGACGCATATAAGTACGAACTGCTGGGCCCGAATCGCGGCATTCGATATCGAACGGATCTCGAATCGAAATTTGATGTTAAGATCGCGGCATTCGACAGCGAGTGCGCTTCGCTCGTTTAAATTGTATTGTGGAGAAAACAGCTACCATTTTGTTTTATTCGATTAGAAACGAGTGATCACTCGATTCGGGCCTGTATTTGACTGACTTCAGCGAGGAGAAGAGTGTTACCATTTTGATGCTTTTAGAGCTGGATTCAGCTCATTATTTTCTCATTTAGCTCTCGAAACTCGGCTTTTCGATATCTTTATGTTATTCTATTTCGATGAATACTTAGAAAGGTTCCATTTCGAAAGCAAATGGAAAATAGACAGGTAAGAGCACACAAACTATACCGGACAGTAATTCCAGCTCCAAGGGCTCATATAGTGTATATGGTATATATGCTGTCAGGCGGCCAAGATAGAATAGAAAAACCAAAATCTAAGCGTTGATAGAATTAACATATATGTATTTGTATCCACGGTTCGAGGGTAAATAATTCAAAAAAAAGTATACAGCTTAGAAAGAAATATAACTTAGAAAGAAATACAACTTTTCAGATAAATTTCTTGAAAATATAATTCCTTGACCGTTTTGTAAAATATTTTTAGATTTTTAGTTCGTGGTCTACTTTTTTAGTTTTCTTCTGCACTTAAATTTATAAAATTCGTTGTTTTCAATAAAGTTGCAGAAAATGTAGAAACAACTTTACGCCAATAAACGCTCAACTTAAAAAAAAATTCTCTTGATTTTAGCTACCATTAGTAAATATTATTTCACTCTTTTTTCCGAACGTTTTAGCTCCAAACGATTTTTTTTCTGGCAAAACTGGTAGGGAACTAGAGAGGCGTCTTAAAATAAAAGGTTAAATACGCGATTTTTAGCAGAAGTATGAAAGTTAATTCTCCGCCTTTTCCGAAAAACTTGAAAAGTAAACTTTTCATAACAACTCCGTTTTCATTGTAATTGTTTCGCAAATATATATACATATACTACTATGTATTAATGTACGTATTTATACTTTTTTAAAAGCAATTTAAAAAGAACTTTTTTACCAACTACAATTGTATAAATTCCTGGCAAGTCAATTGTCCGACTCTGAATATGATTTCAGTTACTTTCAAATACATTTTGTTTAAAGAAATTCAAAGTCAGTATTGCTCGTTTTAATACGCTTTCGTTCTGCACTTCACAGATGATTTTTCATAGATCGCAGGCACAAAAAAAAGAATAATATCTTTATTAATATTCATTTTAATATGCTTCGTCAGACGGCAATCGAACCCAGAACCTCCAGATACATAACAAACAATAGCGATAGTATGTAAATGTGTTTTTCATAAGTCAATTGTCCGACTATGTACATATCGCACACCGTCTTCAAAAGAGTCACAACTCAAAATAATACGTTTATCAGTAAATGCGAAAAACTATTTCTTAGCACATGGCAAGGGCTACTTTATCTTAGTTTTTTTTAACAAATTGAAACAAAAATTTGCTCCAGATTTTGCTGAAAGGTAAATAAAAGCTCTGCGTACATTTTTAGCGCATAATCTCAAAAATGCCAAATTTTGAGTTGTGACTCTTTTGAAGACGGTGTGCGATATGTATGTATACATATGTATATTAAAACTACTTCAACATCATTTTGCTTATAGGAGTCAGTGGCCGAAATGCCGCATTTGTTTCAAAGTAATTTATTTTCAAATGCTTTTACAATTGGTTAGTTTTTGAGACTGTCTGCTCTGTGTATTCCAACGGGGTACATATGTATATGTATATTTTGTAGATGCACAAGAAGTGCGACTAAACTTGATTTCTCCAAAACCAAACCAGGTTTATTCCAGCTTATTTCCCGTCTCATTTCTGCCAATACAAAAATATGAAATGTAAACAAAAATAAAAATTTCGCAAGCCGAAGTAAAAGACACTGGTTCATTTAAGTACAAAGGGAATATAGAATATATGTAGGCATGCTCGGCGTGTTCTCTTGCTTTGTTTGCACAGATATCATGTGAGTTTTAAGGTGACGATGTTATTTTTCGAAAATTTTTATAAGGAAATCGCAATGTATTGGTTTCACTTTATGTTCTGGTAACAGTAAAAAGCTAAACTCGTATTTTCACACTTACACTTTAGACAAATTTATAGGAAAAAATCACTACAACACGTTACGTACAGGTAAACAAACAAACCACCTGAGAGATCTTATACTCTACTAAATCGTAACCGACTAAGCGCAAACGCTACTGTTTCCGACAGCAGTTTTATGGCGAATACGAACGGCTGAGTTGATCATGCAGAGTATACCAAAAGAAGCGTTGCGTCAGTTTCATGTAGAGAGCAGTAAAGTTAACGAGAGAACTATAGGGAAATCAGTGGAGTCAGTGTTGCCATTTTGTTACTTTTGGAGCTAGATTTAGCTCTTTATTTTTCTATTTAGCTCCCAGCTCTTTTACCTCTTTTCAAATTTATCTAGAACTTTTTTAACTCCAGAAAGTTTTAGTTGTATTTGGTATATATAAGCCAAAACTAAAGCGTTGATAAAATGGAAAATTTCGAGATGCAGTGTATCCACCATTAACTCTTTGATCTAGGTTAAATAATTCAAAAATTAATTAGAAGAAAATCCTTTTTCTGATAGAGCGATTTTGTTTTAACTTACTAATTTTACCTTTATGGAGAGCTGGAAGTAAAACTTTCCAGAAAAATTTTGTGAAGAAATTATTAAATTCAAATATCTGAAATTACAGACTTTAACAGTTTGTAAAGTATTTTTAGTTCACTATTATTAGTGCCATAGCAACGAATTCGAAATATGTGCACCTTATTTTGGGTTTAAAAGATTTTTTCAGCACTTAAACTTATAAAATTCGTTGGTTTTATTTGAACTGCCGAAAATGTAAAAACAACCTTACGTCAATAAGTGCTCAACCTTAAACAAAAAATTGTAGCTCTTCATTTTAGCTAGTATTAGTATTATTTAGCTCATTTTACGACCGTTTTAGCTCCAAACAAAATTTTTCTCTGGCAACACTGGTGTAGTATATGTATGTACACTGCAGTAAAATTTAGAGACGGTCTGTTAAAGCGCTAGTTCCGCCTTATGGTCTGATTATGCATACTTCGCATAACTTCACACAACTTCGCATAAACTTCAAACTGTAATTTCGTATGTACTTTGTATGTATTTTGTATGTATTCCATTACCCAGAAATTAGCAGAACTTTTAAAAACTTAGCCATCTGTTGAGTTTAGATTTTGCTCCTCATTTTCTTAAGTTACACTTTTAGTGCTCTGGTACAAATGGTTGTGCGAAGTTATGCGAAGTATGCATAATCAGACCTTTATACATTTCAGAACCAGTGTTGCCGTTTTAGTCCTTTGGTGGCTAGATTTAGCTACCACATACTCTTTTTGGCAACATGAATTTAAAATTGCCCCTAGCCCTTTTTTTAGCACTTCGGAGAATTTATTCATACTTGGCATGGAAAAGTTGTATATGCTTAATTTGATCTCATTTTTTTCATTTATGTAAGAGATGAATTTTTAAACTAAGAAATACATATATACATATATGTATTGTATGTTCCTTACGTTTTTATACATACATACTGTAAAAGTGTTAGGGCTGTTAACTTATCTATTAACGATGTAACTATAGTTTAAAATAGATAAGTTTACAGCTTAATGCTTAATTATTATGCTTAATTTGTTAAATGGCCCATCAAGTCGATTGACCGTGTACGTTCTTGTGGTGTGATTGAACCGGCCCTGGTGCGACTTCAAAAACTATTGGAAAATTTAATGATTGTACCAGCATGCTGGTGTCGTGAGTGGTGAAATTAGCTGAACTTTCTAAGCAATAAGTATTTTGGCGGAAATTTCTTGCACTATATGNATTAGCAGAACTTTTAAAAACTTAGCCATCTGTTGAGTTTAGATTTTGCTCCTCATTTTCTTAAGTTACACTTTTAGTGCTCTGGTACAAATGGTTGTGCGAAGTTATGCGAAGTATGCATAATCAGACCTTTATACATTTCAGAACCAGTGTTGCCGTTTTAGTCCTTTGGTGGCTAGATTTAGCTACCACATACTCTTTTTGGCAACATGAATTTAAAATTGCCCCTAGCCCTTTTTTTAGCACTTCGGAGAATTTATTCATACTTGGCATGGAAAAGTTGTATATGCTTAATTTGATCTCATTTTTTTCATTTATGTAAGAGATGAATTTTTAAACTAAGAAATACATATATACATATATGTATTGTATGTTCCTTACGTTTTTATACATACATACTGTAAAAGTGTTAGGGCTGTTAACTTATCTATTAACGATGTAACTATAGTTTAAAATAGATAAGTTTACAGCTTAATGCTTAATTATTATGCTTAATTTGTTAAATGGCCCATCAAGTCGATTGACCGTGTACGTTCTTGTGGTGTGATTGAACCGGCCCTGGTGCGACTTCAAAAACTATTGGAAAATTTAATGATTGTACCAGCATGCTGGTGTCGTGAGTGGTGAAATTAGCTGAACTTTCTAAGCAATAAGTATTTTGGCGGAAATTTCTTGCACTATATGAGTCGGCCGCTGTGGCGTAGTGGTAAGCAGTGCGCGCTTCCACTCCGCAGCACCTGGGTTCAAGTCCTGGTCAAAGCAACATCGCAAAAAAATATAGAAAAAAGGGTTTTCTTAACAGCGGTCGTCCCTCGGCAGGCAATGGCAAAGCTCCGAGTGTATTTCTGCCATGAAAAACAGCTTCTCATAAAAATACAATCGCAGTTCGGAGTCGGCGTAAAACTACACGTGAAAACATCGATGTTCCCACATCAAATATCGATGTTAAAAAACATCGGTTATAAAAACGATACATCGATGTTTTACCGATGTTTTAATTTCTCATCTACTACACGAGATAAAATGTAGCCTGAAATATTTTTTAAACTCGAAAGGACTAGATTCACATATCCGCTACAAACCACAACTTTATACAAAACTTTGAAAAATTCAACACATTTTTATATTAATTTTGCATTTTTTATTCGAATTTTTAGAAAGAGCCGCTAAAAATCGCCTTGATATTTAACGAATTGGTTTTGCACATTTTACCATATAACAGTAGATTTCTTGTAGAATTAAATGCGAAGGACATTTTGCAAACAAAATGAAAAAAATCAACGTCAGTTATTATAAATTGCACCTTTTATGTGAAAAAACCGCTAAAGCCGCCAGAGAAAAATCACTAAAAATCTAAGCGATTTTTAGCCGCTTAAAACTTGAACCTGTTTTATTAAATTACCTACCCAGAATTTTTTAAAATATTCAGACTAAAAAATTTAAAGTTTAGAAGAAAATTTGTTAGATTTTTGAACCACATTTTTATAAAAAAAAATTTAACTTAAAAAACGACAAATATTGAACAAAACTCAGCATGCACTCACGTTTGATCGCCAGTGTATGTATGTACACATAAAAACTTCCTTCAAGCAGCATATTTCAATACAAGTATAAGTAGGTTGCTATAATTATGATGTATCTTAAATATGTATGTAAATCTTATTTATTTAAGCTTTGATAATCTAGCCCCCAAAAGCCTGCTTCTATCCTGAATGATGGTTCCACCGGCTTCGGAGCACAGTATATACAGTAATAAACCTTTTTGAGTACTCCTCGGGGGTAAAATCTGATCAGGGTTGATAATGAGAAGGAGCATGAATTTTGCCGATTCAGAGTTGCATACAAATTTAATGTGGTATGCAAGGTAGCAACAACCGTACTATGGCAGAGTGGCACAGGTAATTTTGTAAACAAACACTTTTCTTATAATTATAAGAGATAATTGCAATTTTTTGCAATATTCCGGTATCCAGCGTGTAGCCAGAGGCAGTGGCATGTGAGCCTCACTAAAATCTACTCATCATGTTGGAGTAGCCGTGGGTAACACAGTGCGGCGCCGCGCCATTGCGCTGATACCGAGAGCTGAGTTACTGGCGCCGATACCGATTGTCACAACTCAGTGACGCAATGGCGCCAGCAACACCGGAACACTGACAACACCGGGCGGCGCAAAGAACGAGCAAAGAACACACAAAGGCGAAGTTTCACTTGTAAAATGTGCAGCACAAGGCGAATTTTTACAAGGTGGTGTTGCTAAAACTACCCGCGGTCCTTCTGAATGTGAACATTATGTGTTTGTTGTATTTTTGGGTTTTGAACTTGGGTATACCTGAGTTGTTTTTGCCCAACCGATACCACCTTTTATTAATTCACCTTAGTTCAACACCGGAACTCTGACAACACCAGGTGTCGCAAAGAACCAGCAAAGAACACCCGAAATAGAAGGGATGTGTAGCACAAGGCGAATTTATACAAGGTGGTGTTGCTAGAATTCGTCGCGGTCCTTCTGAATGTGAAAATGATGGGTTTGTGTAGTTTTGGGTTTTGAACTTGGGTATACTTGAGTTTTTTCTCAACCGATATAACCTTGTATTAATTCACTTTGGTGCAGCGTGCAGCATTAAAGGAAATGAGCTTTAGCCTGAAGAAGCGCCGTTGCGCCAACACACTGTGCTGATTCCGACAGTGGCGCTGGAGTTGGTGTGTCAGCGCCAAAAAAAATTGCGCCGTTACCCAGGCCTATGTTGGAGCAGCTCCGGGTAATGGACCATTGAATGTGCTGGCTGAACTTATGACCACCATAACCTTCGGAGTCTCCAGCAAATGCGAGTCCTGAGTTTATACGGTGGTCATTCATAGCAATTACTCTTGTATGTGTGTATGATTCATATTTGTGAATTCTATACTTTGATTTTGAGTATCTTTGAGGAGCTCCGGGTAATGGTCGCTCAAACTTGGGTGTGCTTAATGAGCTCTCTGGGCGGATGCGCTGGCAGGCTTTAGAGTCTCTATAACAATACCAACCTTGATTTGTTTTGGAATAAAGACTTAAATATATTCGGAAATTTTGAATTTTCCATGATAAATTCACAAATTTCACGTTTTTCATAAAAATATAATCTTACAATGGATATTTTATTGATTTTAAATTTACATTTAAGAAAACTCCATCCAGTGCTATAATTACGATTTGAGTTTCCAGTTTAAAGAAACACAGGCAATAATTATGTACTTTACTATTTATATTATTCTTAATTAAGCATTGATATTATGTTTAACCTACATTTTGTTCATAAATAACACTATTATATATGTATATTTTATCCTCGAAAAGAACTTTTTATGATCATTACAAGAATTTCCCCACAGTAAGTGTTGACGTGCTCGCAA